ATCGAGCAGTCAGCTACAGACATTCAAGTCTAGATTGGCGCTTGCAAGCGCTGTGGATGAGCGGCGTTTTGTAAACACTTCTTCGGCAATTGTATCAAAGAACATCACCGTGATATCAATCACATTACGTCCACCTTTTCGCATTACACAGATGACGAACAGCTACGTGGGTCCTTCACAATTTTAGATATTTTTTTCGAGAACTTGTTCGAAACAGATAAGTCAACCCATGTATCACGGGTATCGCCTAAGAGGCCCATCGCTCGGCGAAGGACGAGTCGCAGCGCGTGCTGTCCGATATGAGACGTAGTATGGTACACTCTATTTAACCTGACGCCTAACCGCTACAGTATGCGCTGCGACTCGTCCTTTGCCGCGTCTGCGTCTCTTCCTTCGCCGCGCGACGGGCCTCTTGGGGGACACCCATGTATCTAAATAATAGTAGGTTGAGCTAGAATTATGCGCAGTTTTTTCTAGGCTCATGGCTCTTTGATTTTTTTGCTGATTATTTTCAAAGATTATGATGTAGTCTGAAAGCGCTCTTGTACATTTTGATGTACAACACTTGTGTATTTGCTTCACTCTGGAGCTTACACGCGAGCAAAAAAGATTGCTCCCTGCTACATGAGTGCAAGTTGAGCTCGAAACCGAATGCTTCTGCATCTGCTCGTAGAATCAATGAAGCCTGGGATGAAGGCACGGTTGCAGAGAGGACTGTTCGAGAGCGTTTGTTGATTACGCATTTATTGTTGTTTATCTTTAGTTTTATTAGTGAAATGAAAACGGCGGATGATTTTTGCTCAACCTATCGCAAAATGGAAAGGTTGAGCAGAAGTTTTCGCCATTCTGACACCTAGCTTTTCTTCCACGCCTATTGACTAATATAATGCCATTCGGAAGCTCACAATCTTCAGCGCATTGCTAAGCTCCTCTTTTATTTTCTTTGCTTGAGAAATTTGAGTGAAAACTATGGACGCCCTATGGTTGAATATTCGCGCCGCAGCAAGTAGGCATGAAAGCCGAGTAACGTCACTCACTTGCAACTTGTCCTCCAAGTCATTGTCTACCATGAAATATCTTCTTGTCCACGGTCATGACTTCAGGTGATCAAATGGATGTAATTCTTCTATTGGTAATGTCACTTCTCGTCACAGCATGTTTTACCTTAAGCAATCTTTGAATAGTGAGAAATTTCCTTCAGTGCTTAATCACGCATCGTATCGCATCGCGATATTACTGGATTGCCAAAGGAACTGAGCTAGAAATTCTCCAACATCGGCATATAAGCGGTTGTAGAGAACTACTCTGTAGGAATAAAAGTTGCTTGACAGGTATCGTCGCACACGTTCGTACAGCGACAATATTTCTCTCCTTCACGACACTGCGTGTTCACATGCCGCGAAGTTATTTCGCCAGAAAATTCCGGAGCTAAGCTAAGAACTTCTACTTTACCTAACGTATCGTCCAGGTCAGGCACCAGATAAATGGCACTTTGTCGGAACCTCAAATTGTCATCTTGCTACGAAAGAGTGTCGACCAACCTCCATCCGGAGGGCGAGGTTGCTCGTATTTTCGACTGGCAGCTGCTTACTTTCTGGAAAAACGGAACTGAGTTCTACCGTTATGTACTGGTGTTGACTGAAGGTGGTTACAGAGGGGAGGTAAGGGGGAGCGGCAACAAACAAACATTTTGTCTCCACATTCGAATACAGGTAATCATACTCCGCCGATTCGAACCGAATTCTCCCAAATGAAAGTTGAAGAGCACATTCCTTTTTATCCAATAAACTTCATGGCGGCCTTCTATGACGGCAACATCAGAAGAATCTGCAACACACTGCATGGGTCGAGCTCAGTGGGGCCCTTGACTTATCGTGTTCCACCACATCTTCCCGAAAGCTTGTTTAGAAAACCATCCAACAGTGATCGATTTAAAGGCAAGCCGCGGGAATAAACTGGTGCTATTGGCGCTTCGTGCTTAGTTGCTTAGCTGCGAAAAAGAGGCAAGGGAAGGAAGAGAAGTTCGGATGTGGCACGATGGCGAGACAGGGCAGTCAAAGAAGACAAAATACGCGAGAGAGCACGTCGTTTGAGAGATCACGCTGATCTATCAATGCACGCTGATCTCACCATTTTCGCGGTGGGTGGGAAGCGTTGCGAATGGGGTCGATGGTTGCAGGCCCCGTATGGATTAACCACGTAACTTTTGCGACGAAGCTGGTGTGATCTAGAAACCTCACAACTTTCCTCGTGGTATCCCTCCTATTAGTTGAGATAATCCCTGGGTTTGCCTTCAAGGAATTATGTAGCAGCGTCAGGCTGAAGTACACGCAAGGTCTCCTTGCGCTCCGACAGATTACGTCATATTCGGAAGACGGTAAGGGCCTTGAGGGTGGAATTGCGTCTTCTCACAGAGGAACATAAGACAGTGAGGAATATT